CGAAACACCGAACGCGCTTCTTTGACTGCAGTGTTTCGGCCTCAGCTGATGGACCACCGTTCCCGGAGCTGCTCGTGTGACGCGTGCATAGCCCTGGGACGCGTGGCTTCATTGGTGGTCGACGAGGAGACGTCCGACGAGCTGCGCGTGTACATCGCGAAGGCGTTGGACAAGGTCTACACGAAGATCTTGGAAAAAGGCCTTGAGCTTCTCCGAAAGGCTGCCAGGGGAGAAGCAGAGGCCGCGGGAGTAGGAAGCCACCCTACTCCTGGTACAGGGTCAGCTGAGCCACCAGCTGAGCAAGAGGTCAAGGCAGAGGAGGAGAACCCCGAGAACGAGGAGGAGGCCCCGAAGAAGAGGAAGCGTCGAAAGAGGAGAGCAAAGGAAGAGGAAGAGAGCGCCCCTGAAGAGAAGAAAGAGTCAGCTGCTGAGGAAAAGGAAAGAAAAGGTCAGACAGAAGAGACAAAAACGTCACCAGCCCAATCAGAGACTCCTGGAACTTCTGCAGCGGGAGTCGAGCCAGCTAGAGAGACAGACCCCCGCGTCCCGCTGCCCCGCAAGGTCGTCAAGCCCAGTTCAAACCCTGCTATTAGCCTGAAAGAGAAGAAGGCAAACGAAGAAGGTGAGGAGAGCAGGGCTGAGAGACCCAAGTTGGCCTTGAGACCAAAGTCCCGCAGCCGCTCCAGGGACAAGGGTGGAAAGGACAAGAAGAGGAGGAGGAGCCCGAGCCCAGCCAGCATCCCAGCTGCAGCCGTTGAGGAGGAGGTCGAGGAGGAAGGCCCTCCTGGTGATTGGGAGGAGCGTCCGGAGATTCCGCGAAGGCCAAGGTCACCTGACCATCCACCTCCCATTCGCCGCCGGCCGACGCGGGGACAGCTGTGGCTGGGACCTATTCGGGCTCACAAAAATCGGCCCCCGCCAAAGAAGAACAAGGGCATCAAGAAGGAGATCAAGAACCAGAGGTATTGGGAGCGGAGAAGACAACAAGCCTGGCTAGAGAGGAGGCGAGGCTACAGCTATCGTTGAGGGGAGGCAGATGCCTCCTCGGAGGCGACCTGCAGCAGCTGTTGAGAGGAGAGGTATCTTGAGGAGACCTGCGGGAGCCCCAGCTCCTGGGAGAGAGGAATGGATAGCAGCGGGAGAGGTCAGCAGCGATACCCTCCTGGGCTGGAATTGGATGCACATCAAAGGGCGATATTGGGAAGAGGAGGTCGAGTTGATCGGCAAGGCCATGGACGTCAAGCTGAAAGACACAGGTCGAGAGGTCATGGTCAAGGCCTCGGGGACCCCTTCAGAGAGCCTCCTACGAGTGTTGACGGGCATCCCAAGTCGACAAGTTCGTCTACACCTATGCTCCGATCCGTGTGCAGCCTTGGTGTGGGACGAGGCCTACATACACTGCAGCCTGTTGAAGGAGGCAGACAGAGGGTCCATGGGCTGGAGCCAGAACTTGGAGGCAGCCGTCGAGAAGGACGAGGGCGACGAGTTGAAGATCCTGAGAGAGGGTGCAGAGGAGTTGAGACGCCGTGGAAAAGGAGTCGGAGGAGCACCCGAGGAGAAGAAGAAGAGGAAGAAGTCTCCTGGCTCATCGGGAGACGAAGAAAAGAAAAAGAAGAAAAAGAAAGAGGCAGGGAGGATCCAAGGAAAGAAAAGCCTGGAGAGTCTTTTCTCCAGCACGGGCTTGGATCCCAAAGCGGAGGTTCGTCGAAAGGTGAAGAGACGTGCGAGGAAAGTGGCGCGACGCAGCAGAAACAAGAAGAGGGGCAGCACCAGCTCAGGGAGCGGGACTTCATCAAGCTCCAGTCAGGAGAGCTGCGAAATGGACGACAAGGACTTGTTCGAACCGGCTACCCCGACTCAGCGCGTGTGGAAACAATGCCCTGGAGCTCTCACCATGTCCATGATTGCAGAAGCGAAGGAGGCATTGCTTACACAAATGGGTACAGTGGGCGAGCCACTGGAAGGAGCAGTTCCGGCGATCGCGAACCAGTGCGTTCGACAAGTCCTCATGCCTACGATGAGCGGCCCGGTGGCCAGGGAGTCCCATCATTGGGGACTCCTGTTGGACCTGCTGTTGACTGGACAGGTTGCGGCGGCTGCAGACTTGGGCGCTCAGCGGCTCAAGGCATTGGAGGGCCATTCAAAGGGAATGAAACCCGAGCTCCTCCGTCAGCTGGAGCTGGTGGCCCAAGAACGACCTTCCCTCAGCAGCACTACGGAGATCATGAAGGCAGGCCGGCAGGCAAACGAGGAGCAGAAGGTGCTGCAGAAGGCGAGCTTCCGAGAAAGCCAGGAGAAAGGAAAAGGCCAGTGCACAGACTGGAGAGATCGACAAGCAAAGGGCGACAAGGGCGGAAAGCAGGAGAAGGGCAAGAAAGGAAAAGCAGAAGGAAAGAAGAAGGCAGCGTGACGGTGGCAGAGGACTGAAGAGAGGGCAGGTATAGCATGACAGAGGGCGTTTCAGAGGTTATAAGCAGGAGGACGCTTTAGAGGGTGACGCTCGGGAGGTTCCTAGTGGCAGGGAGCCTCCTGGCTATGATACATGGGTGGATGCAGAGAATTTCATTCCCAAAGCTCCTGGTGCTCCTGGTGGCAAGGAGTGGGCCAGGGAGCAAGGGAGTGTGTTTTTCAATGAAGCTGGAGAGATGGAGGAGAACTGGCCTGAGCAGTTTCACGAATTCAAAGCAGAGGTTTTTACCCCGCAGCACGGCCAACCTACGTCGGCGGAACTTCTTCATGGAGACACTGCCACTGGGATTGAAGCTGAAGGGCTGCAGAAAGCAAAGCAGCGGACGATGGCTGAGGTGTTTCAGGCGGCCTTGGGCACATTACAACAAGATGATCGGATGCGCTCCACCATGGGCGAGGCAGATGGACTTCGACAAGATTTGCTGCCCCTGCCCGTGCCCCAGGCAGATGGTTTGCTGGCAGCGATGATTGCCGGCTTGAACCATGTGGGAGGTTGGAAAAGCCTACCTCCTGGCCGCGGTGTTACCACAGACTTCCAACGTCTCGCGGTAAAAAATCTGAGCGTTTTGCTGCATCGTCATGACATGTTTAGGGTTGATGAGAGTGAGATTTGTTTCGAGGATTTCTTTAAAAGAAAATCTATCGATTACCTGGGTGAAGAGGTGAAGGTGGCTATGACTATGAACTGGCAAGTTATTTGTGATTCCTTTCCCCAAGAGGTGGGCTGTTTGGAGCTTGAGCGGTTTTGTCGGCTTGGCACGCTCGAGTATGTCACCAAGTTTGAGGAGTTTCTCTTACCCTCTAGGGACTGGAAATACACGAAGCCACCCAGAGTCATGGTAGAGAAGGACGGGTGGCCTGAGCTTTGCCAGGGTCTTGTGGATCGACAGGTCTGCGACATTATGCCAATTGATGAACTGTGCCATGTGAATGGCAAACCCTTGTTGAACGGCATGTTTTCAGTAGGAAAGGGGGGAGTTTAAAAATGGAATAGAAACACAGCGGCTTATTATGAACCTTGTACCAGTCAATACTCTTTGCAGACCATTGGCGGGAGACATTGGGACTCTCCCGGGGATTGCGGGACTGTCTGGTTTCCTCCTCGATGCGGGGGGAGGTGGTGCTACTTAGCAGTGAAGACATACGGTGTTTCTTTTACCTGTTCCAAGTACCAAGCCAGTGGCGGCGGTTTCTGGGCTTCAACAAACTGGTCCCTGACACGATGGTCTCAGCTCACCTCCATGGACGTGATTGCGTACTGGTAGCCAGGGTCCTCCCCATGGGATTCCTGAACAGTGTGTCCATTGCACAACACGTACATCGAAATGTGGTGAAGTGGGCAGCTATGGCAGGAATAGGAGGAGAGCATGAAATGAGGAAAGACAAACCTCTTAGTTCGGGTAGTCGGCTCTACCGCGTCTACCTGGACAACTTTGATCTTTTGGAGCGGAGTGAGCGTGCCTTGGCGGACAAGATCAAAGGAGGTGTGGCAGAGGCAGTTGAGCAGGTCAGAGGTATGTATGAGAGCTTGGGGCTGCCCCGACACCCCAAAAAGTCAGTACAGCGTGCGGTGAGAGGTGAGGTTCAAGGTGCTCTGTTGGACGGCGAGGCAGGTTACGCAATCCCCAAGCCGGAGAAGGTCCAGGTGTATTGTAAGTTGGCTGACGAGTTGATACGACGAGGTCAGTGCACCCTGCGTGAATTGCAAGTTGTATGTGGCGGTTTCATCTACATCTGCATGTTTAGGCGAGCTTCGCTGTGCTGTCTAAATGAGGTGTTCGTACACATGCAAAGGTTTGAGGGCGAGGCGCCTGTTGTGCGACTGGCATTGCCCTGGGCCGTGAAGGTCGAGCTGTCCCGGTTCATTACATTGGTCCCGTTTGGACAAATGGACTTCCGAGCGCCGATCGACGGGGTTGTGACTTGTTCGGATGCTCCCACCTCTGGTGGAGGAGCTTGCTCGTCGCTGGGTCTCAGTGATTATGGGCGGGCTGCCCTGAATGCTGAGGTCCGTGGAGATTTTCCAGAGGCCCATGACCTGGTCCAGGTGTTGAGCGTGGGTTTGTTCGACGGAATTGGTGCCCTCAGGGTGGCTTGTGATGTTCTAGGTCTTCCGATGGCTGGACATGTGAGCATCGAAAAGGATCCCAAAGGTCGACGTGTGGTGGAAAGCTTTTTTCCGGAGACCGACTTCTTTGAAGATGTTGTTGCCTTTGGTGAGGAACAGGTCTCTGCCTTGGCGTTGAAGTATAGCAATGTTGGTGTGGTTCTGTTGGGGGCCGGCCCCCCATGCCAAGGTGTAAGTGGGCTAAACGCCGACCGGAAAGGCGCCGTGAGAGATGAGCGTAGCTCATTGTTCGTGCACGTGCCCCGCATCAGCGAGCTGTTTAGACGAAGTTTTCCTTGGGCGCAGGTGCATGAGTTGATTGAAAATGTGGCATCCATGAGCATTGAGGATCGTGCCCTTATGAGCTCAGAGTTTGGGAGGACCCCATATAGGATTGACGCTCGAGGCTTGTGTCTGTGTTCGCGCCCACGGCTGTACTGGGTTAGTTGGCCTGTTCATGGAGGAGAAGGTGGGAGGCAGTTGCTAGTGTGTCGCTGGAGGCAACCGTCAAGGCAGAGGCTTTTGGAGAAGGGGTGGTCTCTCATGGACGGCTGTAGGTTCCCTACCTTTACCACCTCACGACCACGGAGCAGTCCCGGGCGCCGACCAGCCGGTTTGTCCTCTTGTGAACCACATGAGCGTGCACGTTGGGTCGAGGATTTGCATCGTTTCCCGCCGTACCAATACAAAGATTCGCACGGCCTCTGGAGTAAACGGGGACAATGGCGGCGCCCTAACGTACAAGAACGCGAGCTGATCATGGGATTTCCTCTAGATTATACCAAGCATTGCGTCGTCAAGAATGAACAGAAAGGTGCAACATATGATGACGCCAGGCTGACGCTGCTGGGAAACTCCTGGCAGGTGGGAGTGGTTGCTTGGTTGGTTCTTCAGCTGATGATGCCGCTTGGGCTGTGTCGGAACTGGAGCTTGCAGGAACTCGTTGATGAATTCACTCCGGGACAAGGTCGTTCTTTTTACCATGTTTTGATGAGGCCCCCTTTTCCATGTCGTCAAAAGGAACCTTTGGGAGAAGACACTGTGGCTTTGGTACGTAGGTTCATGGGCATGACCACGTCAAAAGGGGAAGATCTCATGATCCATGCGGGGAGCGACCCCCTGCCACGGCATTGCAGATTGAGAGCCAGCATTCCCGGAAGACTCTGGAGGTGGAAAGAGATCAGTGGTTGGTCATGGAAACATGTCGGTGACCACATCAACCTGTTAGAACTTCGAGCCATTTTAACTACTATTCGCTGGAAAATACTACGTGGACGACGCCTTCGCTACCGTTTTTTTGCACCTTACAGACAGCTTGGTGTGTTTACATGCGCTGACTCGGGGAAGGAGCTCGAGTCGGAAACTTGGCAAGACCATCAGGCGGCTCAATGCCTATCTCTTAGCGGCTGACCTCCATCCCCTCTAGGGATACATCCATACCTCGCAAAACCCCGCCGACCGACCGAGTCGGCGACCTATGAGGCGCAAATGGGCAAAATAGGTAAAAGAGTGTTGGAAGGTCAGACCCGTGAAGATAGGCAAAAGGTGCGAAAACAGCTAGGATCCCTTCGATCCCTCACAGTTTCTGAAAAAACACGTAGTAGATATGATGTGGCCTCTTCGAAGTTCTTTGGATGGTTGGACGAAAATGAGCTCACCCTGCCCCGAAAAAGAGAACAGTTGGATGGACTTCTTGCTGAATACATTGAACACTTGTGGACCGATGGCGCTGGACGTGCGCAAGCTTGTGATACTCTTGCTGGATTACAGGACAGGGACCCAAAGCTGAAGGGACACTTACAGCTGTCCTGGCGTTTGCTGCGCACCTGGAGTACCAATGAGATTCCAAACAGAGCACCGCCACTCCCCCAGGAGGCGGTTTTGGCTATGGTCGGCTGGGCCTTTTTTCATGGTCACTTCAGCTTCGGTGTGTCCCTACTGGTGGCATTCTACTGTATGCTGAGGACAGGTGAGGTGTTGCATCTCAGGAACTCGCACATTTACATGACAGGACCCAAAACACCCGCGGTCATTTCCCTTGGCATGACCAAAGGTGGAAAGCGAGCAGGAGCAGCAGAGAGCGTCACGCTGTCCAGTGCCGATGCCCTGAAATGGTTGTGGTTGTGGAAGACTTCAAACCGCATGCAAACCTCTGTCCAACCAATAACAAATGGCGGCAGCTGTACTCCGCATGTCTCACTGCCCTAGCATTAGACCCCTTTCAGTTCAGGCCTTACAGCCTCCGGAGAGGAGGCGCCACATTTTGGTTTTCTCGGCGCGGAAATCTAGATAAGTTGATGATCGCCGGGAGATGGCAGGCTGTGAAAACGGCCCGAGTTTATATAAACGAGGGCTTAGCAGTACTTGCCGAACTTCACCTACCAAAACACAAACTTAGACCCTTCACTCAGGTGTTTCACTCCGGAATTCGACTTCAACACTTGAGCGCGAACAAGCGCAAAACAGGGGGACGTGGAAAGGGCAGTTGGGACAATTTTTTCAATCTTTTTGTCAAAAAAGAAGA